ATAAAATATAAATATATATAATAAGCATCTCTCTCTCTCTCTTTCTATATATATATATATATATACAAAAAATATGTGTGTATATAATGCGTTACACATTACAAACTGCTCTAAAACCGCCAGCCTGCAGAATGCGCAACGGCACCATGTTTTGATTGAACCGATTACATTTCATACTTCTATTTAATTTATATTTATTTAAATCATTGCCTTTTGAAGTTTTAATAATCACATTAAACCATATGGCGATTCCTATTTTTCCATCCCTAAATTTAAGACTTTTTTTTTTATTATTATGAACACTTTTCTTATAGTATTTAAGATATTTAAAGGGATACTTCACCCAAAAATTAATATTTTGTCATCACTTGCCCTTTTGATGTGCCAAACTTGTATGAATTTCTTTCTTCTGTTGAACATAAAAGAAGATATTTTGAATAATATGGGTAACCAAAGGTAGTTTCTGGTAGCCACTGACCTCCACTGTATGGGGAAAAAAAATACTATGGAAATCAATGGCTACCAGCAACTGTTTGGTTACCAACATTTTTCAAAATATCTTTTGTTTAACAGATGAAAGAAATGCATACAGTCTGACAGAATTTACATTTTTGGGTGCACTATCCCTATACTACAGTAGTCAATATTTGAAGTGGATAAAAAAAGTTCAAAGTTGTTCTAAGACAAGAACAGGTATTGTTTTGATTTTAGGACAACTTTGATGAAAGGTTTTGATCCACTTCAAATGTTGACTGCTGTATATAGTGTACATATAGTATTAGGGACTTTTAGAACCTTTGTTTTTTTTTTAGAACCTTAAACTTGTATAAACTAAATGTAAGATTTTTAAGGACAATCAGGGACCCTGTAAGAGGATGAATGAGATTGTGTTTGAGAAGGTCTGGAGACTCACCAGGCGGCCTTTCTCACTGTCAGGGAGGTAGCAGTGTCTTGGAAATCCACGGGCTGTGAAGGGCTTCCCGGGGTTGGGATGCTCTGGACCCTAAAACAATCATAGAAAGAGCCATTTAGACCTACATTATAGTTATATAGCTCAACATATGATGTAGGTGGCACAAATGCCAATGTGAATGAATGCTCTGGGAAGAGCAGTGGTTTTAAACGAGCTCTAAATTAAGAGTCTTACCTGAATGCCAGGGGGTATGTTGTAGATAATCCGGATGGTTCTGCAGTCAGGGTGTCCAGGAAGGGAGTGAGGAATGACGTGGTATTCCATCTTTCCTGGTGGCTGGTTGCCGGTTTTAACACCGTAGATAGTCTTGCAGGTGGGACACTGAAGGCTGCCGTCTTTGTTGCCGTTGTTGTACATGGCCACCAGGCACTGCAGGTGGTACTGATGCCCACACTGAGACAGACGACCCACTAACTCTGCTCGAGAAATGCCACCTACACCTGGGCCTTTATAACCAGATGGGCCACAGAGAGACTCCATACAGATAGTACAATCCTAAAAAAAATTCAAATTAATAGAGAAAAAGAGAGAAACCAAAAAAAAAAAAAGAATTGAATCAAGTTTAATTAATCTAATGAAAGATAATTAAAATAATTATTTTAATAAAAAAGTATTATATTTTAATTAAAATGATTTAAATAATTAAAAAAATGAAAATATGAATCATGTATGTTTACCTCCTCAGGTGGGTTGCGGACTTTCTGGAGATATCTTCTAACAACTTCTTCTGAAGTTCTACCTGCTCAAATGGAAGAAAAAGTTATTTAAAAAAAGTTAATCAAATAAGGATTTAGAGAAATAATCTGTCACAAACATGTGACATGATATATAAAATATAAATATTTTATTTATTTTCTATATATTGTTTATACATACACTACTTGTCTAAAGTTTGGAATAAAGATTTTTTTAATGTTTTTGAAAGACATCTCTTATGCTTACTAAGACTGAACTTATCTGATTAAAAATACAGTAAAAACAGTAATAGTGTGAAATCTAATTTCATTTCTGTGATATTTTTATTATTTATTAATAATATTAAATAATAATAATTAAATAATTATTAATAATATTTCACAAAATGAATACAATGTTTTTATTGTGTTTTGAA